TTATGCCTGTTTATATAGTTTAAAGATTTTATAGCAAGGTGCATTACTCTTTTAATAGTTTCTAGATGTTGGGTCATGCTTTAAAGTCCCCCATAATGAGATTATTTAAAGCAACAAAAACACTCCTTGTTTTTTCTCCGAGTTTTATGATTTTGTTATTTGCTTTTAAATTGTGAGCCAGTGGAATTTATTTTGGTGTAAGGAATAAGGTAGGGACCCAGCTTATTTTTCCTGATGAAATGACAGCTATCACAAAAATGGTTTTTTGAATGATTCAGACTTATCATGCAGTAAATTTTCATATATCTGAACTCTTTACTACTTTATTGTGCTTGATGCTTATAGCAAATATTTGTATTACCTGGTAAGGCCATTGCCCTTCTTCATGAATACAATTTATTAAAGAGTTTTTCTTATTTTTATTTTGTCCTCTTATTTTTCCATGTGAATGTTGGATTTTTCTTATGACATAAAAATGTCAAGAGGCTATGTTATTACTGTGTGAAATTTATAAATTAATTTAATAAGAAAGAATTGGTATTTTTATTAGTCTTTCATTTATTTACATTGTCTTTTGGCCTCCTTTAACATTTTATTTACATGGCTCTTAATAGATTTAAGTTTAGTCCTAAGTATTTTTCTTTTTTGTTGTTGTAAATGGAATCCTTGCTGGTTGTTGCTTATATTTACTGTACAAGGGCTGTTGCTTTTTGCATAGAAATGATAACAGCTTATTGAAATCTATTTCTATTGTAATTTTTTAGTTTATTCTAAATTAGATTTTTTTAAAGCAGACTTTTCTCAAAAGAACTAGAATATCTTCATGATCATTTTATTGTTTCTTTGTAGGAGTATAAGACCAAATTAAAATTTAAAAAAAACCCAACACAATAAGAAGTATGTCGTCAGAATGAAGAGAATTAATTTGGTGATTGTAATGGCTGTTGGCTTTAAACATCCAACTTCATTGAATGACCCATGTACTGGAGATAAGATACTGGACATTAGACAAGAAGAGAGGGAATAGCCTTGTACCTCTTGTCTAAAGATGAAGGTCATTCTGTGATTGGCTTTAGTAGCAAAGGTTTTTTTTCTTTTTCTTTTTTTCCTTAGAATAGGTAAAAGTGCTTCAATAGAGAACTAAACCATGAGAAATGGGAATGTTGGCTTAATTTTAGTTAAACAGTGCTAATTAATCTAATGTAAAATAACAGTAAATATAGTGAGAGAAAGTAAGTTGAAAAATTATTTTAGGTTCAGGAAAAATTTACATACCATAACTGCATGTATTTGAATATGGAACACATACTTATATAACTTTATAGAGACATCCTCACATTATAGTTAAATGGGTATATTAATATATTTACTCAAAAAACAGCACTGAAAGAATGCTCCTCAAACTTTGACCAGCCTATTTTATGAACGATCTTGTTAAAATTCAGATTCTGATTCTGTGGGTCTGGAGTTGGCCCTGAGGTTCGATATTTCTAACAAGTTCCCAGATGATGCTGGTGTTGATGGTAAAATGGGGTGGATTGACCACATGCATAATCTGTTGTTTTCTACTCCATAGATGGTTTCACTGCTTATTAGATTGTGCTGCATTTATAGACTCAGTGTGATCCCCTGCCTCCCTAGTGTGTCCCCTCTACTTCTGCCACTCCCCTTCCTCCCACCAAGATTTCTCATGCTTATTCATGTGCTTTTTTGAATTTGGGCTGCTCTTCTTCACATATTTAGTACTTCCTATTCTTTGTTTTTCTATTTTAAGTGTTTTATTGCTCTCGTTTATTTATTTTTAAATAATTCTTTATTGTTGAAAGTATTACACATGTCTCCCTTTTTCCCACATTGACCTCCTTCAGCCCACCCCATCCACCACAACAGGCCCTCACCACGCCATTGTCTGTGTCCGTGGGCCATGCGGTTATGCATATATGCATCCAAGGTCTTTGGTTGATTACCTCCTACCCACCCATCCACCCCACCTTCTCTCTGAGATTCCTCACTCTGTTCCATGCTTCCATGTCTCTGGATCCACTCCATTCATCAGCAACATTATTTTGTTACTTAGATTCCACATATGAGTGTAATCATGTGATACTTGTCTTTGATTGGCTTATTTCACTTAGCATGATACTCTCTAGGTCCCTCCATGCTGTCTCAAAGGGTAATAGAGTCTTCTTTTTTACTGCTGCATAGTATTCCATGGTATAAATGTACCACAGCTTTTTTATCCACTCATCTACCGATGGGCACTTGGGCTGTTTCCAGATCTTAGCTATTGCAAATTGTGCTGCTATAAATATAGGGGTGCATACATTCTTTCTGATTTGTGCTTTGGGTTTCGAAGGGATATATTCCTAGAAGTAGGATCACTGGGTCAAATGGCAGATCCATTTTTAATTTTTTGAGGAAACTCCATACTGTTTTTCATCATGGTCGCACCAGTCTGCATTCCCACCAGCAGTGTACTAGGATTCCCTAGTGTTTCCTATCCTTTAAGACCCAACTCAAATACTAGCTTTAGAACACCTTTTTCAACTGCTTTAGTTTACTCTGATCTATTTTTTTCTCTAAACTTTTACTGTTATTTACAATCATTATTTTACTTTTATATCTATTCTTTGTTTCTCTAGTTAGATTGTAGACCTCTTAAAGATAAAGTTGATCTTAGACATTTTGCATTCCCTACATGACCTCTCCTCTTGAATATCTAAAGAGCAATTTGGAGAGTGTCTCTGAATCTATAATCTTTACCTCTAAAAACTTGTGTCTATTCTTGTGTTCTTTGTCTCAGTGAATGCCAGAAACCTAATAGTAATCCTTAATTCCCTGTATCCTAAATCCACTCTTTTACCAAATTCTGTACTCATTTACTTTTGGCCACTCTATGGTGCCTTTAGGTAGTTGTTTTATAATATTTTGCCCAAGTTTATAGTTATTGTCAGAGGGAGAGTTTGTTTAATAGGACTAATAGGAACTACTCAGGAGATAGTAGAAGTGGAAGTTCTCCATGTTAACCATGAAAGTTGGAATTATAATAGCCTTGAAACAGTAGAATAATTAATATTTATAAGGTACTTGTGTTATAAAAGCACTATAATATAGATTATCTGATTTGCCATGATTATTACTGATATAGTAGGCAGAATACTAAATGCCCTAGTACTGCTGCACTGTGGTCAAGAACCTGGGAAGGAAGTGAATCCTGAAGTATAAATTTAGCATAATATTGTGTATAACAAAATGTGATAGCTAACGCAAGAAGTTGAAGAAGGAAGGTAGTAGTGGAAACTAGGCATCAGAAAGAAAAGCAGAATTTTGTGCGTGTAGGCTAGGGATGGGCAAACTTTTTGACTCGAGGGCCACAATGGGTTCTTAAACTGGACCGGAGGGCCGGAACAAAAGCATGGATGGAGTATTTGTGTGAACTAATATAAATTCAAAATAAACATCATTACATAAAAGGGTACGGTCTTTTTTTTTTTTTAGTTTTATTCATTTCAAATGGGCCGGATCTGGCCCGCGGGCCGTAGTTTGCCGACGGCTGCTGTAGGCAGATGACACTGTCACCAAGTAAATGGACTCTGAGAATAAATAAGTAAAATATTTTTTTTATTTTTGCCACATGGTTCTTTTAGAGGTCCTATAAATTTCAGCGTATACTTCCTTGGACAGCCTTTTCTCTCTACTCTGTAAAGTAGGTCGCAGCTTATATAACACCAACTCCTGCCCTTTTTTTTTATGGGACCCATCATTTTATTGTGTTACTTTTATACTCTTAAAACATAATATTCTTCATAACGTATTATCGTTTATAATGTTTTCATTTTATATATTTTTATTGATTTCAGAGAGGGGGAGAGAGGGAGCGAGAGATAGAAACATCAATGATGAGAGAGAATTATCAATTGGCCGCCTCCTACAATGCCCCACATGGGATCGAGCCCGCAACCCCGGGCGTATGCCCTGACCGGGAATCAAACCATGACCTCCTGGGTCATAAGTCAACACTCAACCACTGAGCCATGCAGGCTGGGCTGTAATGTTTTTATTTTTTCTTTCTCTCTTTTTTTTTCTCTTGTGTAATGTTTTTAAATGGAGCAGTACTGTGAACTCCATGAGGAAAGGGACTATGTTTTTGTATCCCCAGCTCCTAGCCCATTGCCTAATATGTTAGATCTCAGCCCATATTTATTGAGGAATGAATGACTGAATGAATGATATATAGGTACATACATGAGCAATGAAGAAAGTTAAATTGAGTTCCAAATTGGAAGGAAGAAAGAAGTGGCAAGAAGATTTGGGGAAATTAGTAAAATAACATTGGCAAGAGTGATAGCTATCTTGTAGATTAGCAATAAAATTTTTAAAAAATAAGTATGGAGAAAGGTACTAGACCATGGAAAACTTTTTTAAAGCGTTAACTAGACAAATAAATAGTATGGAGTCCTAGAAAATACAGAGCACAGGAATAATATGGTGAAAACAGTTTGAAAAGGATGATTGAGGCAGCAGTCTTGAATAATACACCTAAGGCATGGATATGAGGGATAAAAAGCAATTGGAGCTTTTTGTTCCCTCTTGCTTCTGTGTTTCAGGGTTCCCATGTCCTCATGATAGGGTGCCAAAAGCAAATATTTATAGGCTGTTATAATCAGATTTCTTTCTTTTTTAATATATAT